TGCCGAAAAAATTACCGGCCGAAAAATTTTTCGGTTAATTTTTTTATAGGTGTCCCAGGAATAATGAAAACAGCTGTGATATCCGGATAATCCAACAAATATTCGGATAAATTATTCGGATATCAATAGTTAACGGATATCCGGATAAAATTCAGATTTGATACTTGGATAACGGATTACGGATATATGGATAAGCGGTTAATGGATTGGAACTCTACTTTTTTTATTTTATATAGATATAAAAGATCACGTGATGTTAGTTTTAGGCTACATACACCATACGATCACTATAAATGAAATTCTATCAATGCAATCTTATTTGTATTTAGAGGATGCCTTCTTGCAATTCCTGCGCGAATTAAAGTTTCGACATATGGAGTCCATACCTTATTTGTATCTATATACAAATAAGGATCACTTGGATGAATAAACGACTGATTCATCAAATCCTAACGATCAGAGATTTGTCATTTGCAAGTTGGGATACTATTTGCGCAAAATTTGCAGTAATACTTACTTCTAAAAGAACTTTTAGGGATGAATTTACTTCGTTTTCATAATCATCGTCTTCTTCATCTTCCATCTTGTTTTTTTTATAAAAATATATTATCATCACTCAATTCATTAAATTAAATCATATATTGCAACTTACGTCTTTTCTCACAAGCTTATGTGGAGGAAAATGTGTATCAACGAATTTAATCAATTCTTTTATCAATATATTGTGACTATGTTTAACATCATTAAGCTCTTTTTTTAAAATGCTAAAATGATAATTGTATATTATTATGAGCTCCAAATCTGTCAAATTTATAGTATGAAATAAAGAATCAAACCAATATTCCGATTCACGTGACAGATGTTCGTCAGACTGTTGCTCAATTCTTTCCGATAAAACTTCATGAATAATATTAGATTCTTTTAATGTTTCTTTTTCCCTAACATTGAATAAAGTAAATAACGTCAATTTATTATTGTCAATCTGAATATATAGTAAAAATGCGGCAAACCTTATTATGTAATCCTTTGTGTTTTGTATTTCTTGTCGTAGTTTTGGTAAAAAATTTCTACATTGCTCAACTATATCAGAAATATGCTTTCTTACCCAGAGATCGCGGAAAAGCTGTGATTTGATTTTTACGGTATGTTGATCTAATTGAATTAAATATATATTATACGCGTTATGATATTTTTGTGTATATAAAAGGGAAAGTCATTAAAAATTTACCTAGCGTTTCTTGTTCAATTTCTTGATCCAAATTTTGTTCTTCCGCCTTCAATATAGCAATTCTCTATAAAAACATATACATAACGTGACATGACCTGCGCTTAATGAATTAAAGAACGTGTCTTTTGCTACCTTGAGGTCTTCAGAAAGTTCGGGACTTTGTAGAAATAACTGGAGTTGTAAACGCAACTATTTAAATATTGAGTTTATTAATTGTGAATAAATCAAGCATGTTAGTTTACTCAATTTGTGTACAAGTCTATTGAACAAAACATTACATTCTTCAATTTTTCTTTTTCTTGAATATATTGGTGCCTTAGGATTTGAAGAATTTTATCAATATCGGATTCATCAGAATCATAAAGTATGTTTTGAGCATTTGACGCAGCACTCTGTGCAAGAGGACTGTGTGTATACATGGGTGTCGAAAATATTAAATCGCGTCGAAAAAGCATGACAGATGTTCTTTTTTATTGGCGACTTCCCCTGCAGCACCCACAAAACATTTCAGGGCACGTGATTTTTTGCCAATCAAATTTCAGGATCAGGTGTAACGTTACACGATCAGGAAAATTCAAAACAAACGT